TTATAAACCTCGACACGATTGGCACCACTTTCACGTTCTTCAATACTGGGTGTACCTAACAGAAAGGAATTTAAACAAAATCAAAGCAAGGCAGAAAAAAGCCTGCCTTTCAAGCCCGACCCCTTAGGTGTTTGATTTCCACACTTTTCACAAACAGGGCTGTCACACCAAGAGAAAAAATCGTTTTTGAACCAATTCAAGAGCCCTAAATCAATCCAGCAATACACTATATTGATAAGCGATAAGTGAAGATAGATGAAAGAAATACTTAAGTAAAACAAAAATAAGTTACCTTTCATCAACTGCAGCCTACTCAAAACACCATTGCCATCAGTAGCTTGTCGTTTAAGTTCTTCTGCAGGGATAACACTAATTGCTAAAGTTTTATAAACATCATCCGTATAGAATTTCACCTAAAACAAAAGATTGAAAGCAACGCAAAAGATAACTTTATGGGTCATACAAACAAACCCTTTCTGCATTGCTAATGAACTGTTGCAAAAATCGTTTTTCCTCATCATTGGCAGCGTTCGGATTTGCGGGAGTAGAGGAGTAATACCTGGATTTCTGCATAACTAGAGATGAACGGAATTATGATAATCTGTCCAAGTTTTACTTGTTGATGGCAGCTTCAAGCGCTTGCGGATTGGCACCTTGTATTCGCTCCAATTCCTGCCCTTGTTTGATCAGCACAAAAGTAGGCATTGCACGAATTCCATAAAATGTGCTAATGTCTAAAAAAGTGCATAAACTCTTCTTGCAATGTCTTCGCGGAAATCCCAACAAATCGAAAAACTAACTCCATCATGGTGCGCAGGATAACCACTAGATGGACAATAATTCAAGCAAACCCAAAATCGTAGTTAGTGCACTAACCTGGTGAATGATCGACATTCACCTTCACAAAAGTGGCATTCGTAAATCGTGAAGAAAAGTTTTCAAAAATAGGAGCAATAAATCGACATGGGCCGCACCAGTCAGCAAAGAAATCCACAACGAAAAGGCGATTTGCGTCAGCGGCATTTAATTTGGCCTGGAGATCTACCAAAGTCCTCATATGATGCACTGGCATTTTTTCCTATCTGCAAATGAATAGAATCATTTGAAAAAGATACAACTTTGATAGAAGCTTGAGAGCGGGGATGTGTAGATCAACGCTAGACATCTTCATCTTCATCGTAAAAAAGCAAAAGGATATTCACTTCCAAGAACTGGATAACGATAATGGTTGATTCGGCCAATACCTGATGTAAAAAAAAGAAGGTTCGTTAAGAATTACAGTTACGAAAAGCTGTGAGAACTTCCGGCCCTACA